AAGGAGGGAGAGAGGGAGGGAGGGAGGGAGAGAGGGAGGGAGGGAGGCGGGGAGTACAACAGGGAAGGAGTGGCCCCTCATTCTGACAAAGCTCTAGCATGTTTACAAACTGGTACATTGTTCTCAGTTCTGTTCCCCCACCTGTCAGTTTGAAAACGTGGAGACATTGAACATGCTCTGGAAACACTAACTGGATTATATACAGACTGAAAAGTCACATGTATCTTCCCTGAGAGTAGCCTACCAACATCAGATGCACATTAAAACTGCAACAGTGTTGACTGCTGAATGAATACCGAGCAAGTGAAAGTTAACATACATTTCTTGTTTCCCTGTTGCACTTAAAAAATTAACTTGGATGTATTATATTATTACATTCACTTGGCGATGGTACTTCTCTGAGAATTTAAGAGAAAAAAAAGAAGAGAAATGTTGGATGCTATGTCTCATTTATTTGAAATTATTTCCCAGAATTAAACCTTTGGAGAAGAGGAGCATGCTATTTTGGGGAGGTGGTTGTTTATTTGGTACCACATTTGCAGAAGTGCATTAAAAAAAAAAAGGCTGAATGATAGCATCAATTTAAAAGCCCAAGGTATCCAACTGTGAGCGGAGACTGGATCAGGAAAGACTGTAATTGTGACCATATTTCACACTGTACAAACTGGTCAATTCCTTTATCTTCAGGAGTGGCTGCAGGAAAATGTCAGGGCTCCAGTTTTATGTGTTTCCCTCCTCCAACTCTTTCCTCTTTTGCTGTGTGACTCACATCCTACAGGGTGATGGGAAAGCCTTTGGAGGACATCAATTCCCAGGACTCAATTTTCTCTATCAGATTGCTACAAATAAATCTTATTTTATATCTCAGCTCATAACCTTCAGTGGAAACGCTTCCCTGTGTCTCAGTCCTCTATTGCTGTGTTTAACGCTGCGGCTGAGGACTTGATCATCAACTCTCCAAGAGATGGGGAGAGAAATGGGGATGCGACTGCCCTTCCCCCACCCAGGGCTCCCAGGAGCAACCCAGCATAAAGGTAGTAAATCTCCATCATAATTGTCTAGATATAGCCAATCAACTGGCTTAATGAGATGGGAAGTAGGTTGCTGGGGAGGAGGGATGACATTTTAACAAGACAATTCGCATCAAACGGCAATTTATCCTTCACAGCACATTTAATTTTTCTAGAAAGTTCTCAGAAGCAAGAGTGCCATTCTGAAAGATGTTCGGCTTAGCTCACCCGTTGTGAATCACTTCAGCACCTCAACAGAAGCACACAGAAACATTCCTAAAATATTTAAAATACTTTCTGTTATCTACCTCCTTGCTGAGGGGTTTGCCTCTTTGGGGGTTTGAACACATTTTCTTGGAAATGGCAGAGGTTGAGGATAGTACTGCTTCCTTCCTGCCTCGAGTATGGGACTTGCAGCCCCATGTCCCTCTTATAGGGAATTGAAAGGGCATGACTCTGTCTACCTCCAAGCCCCACTAAGAATTCTCAGATGCATGGCATCCAAGCCTCCCAGACTCTGCTTGGGGCTGTGTTTAGGTTCAGATACAAAGGCAAACGCTTCTCAGGGATTGTCCCCTATGGTTTCTGTAAGTGGTTCCTGCAGATGTCTCTAGGGACCCGGCAGGGCTGGTTCACCCTAAAAAGGACATGGGGAAGGCTGCAAGCCAGACTCAGGGCAGCCAGGCTTGATCCTTGATTTGTGGGAGCTTTGTGAGAAGCTGACTGTAGATCAGGACCGAACAGAAAACAAAGCTGAGATCACAAATGCGTCTCTTAGTTCTTGCTTAGTGAGATTGAAATGCCTTGCGCATGCTCTCTTTTAACTTGAACCCCGGTACAGCCCACCCCCAGTCACAGAGGCAGCGGGTCTCTCTTGCGCTAAGGGTTTCTTGGAATTTCCTCACTTTTTCTTTTCCTTCATCCTAACTTACTCTTGTGCTGCTGGAGATCAAACCTAAGGCATTCTTCATGTTTTACCAGTCTTTTGTTGTTCTTTTAGTTTCTGGGTTTTTTTTTTTTTTTTTTCCGACGCAGGGTTTCTCCGCATAGCTTTGGAGCCTGTCCTGGAACTTGCTCTGTAGACCAGGCTGGCCTCGAACTCGCAGAGATAAGCCCGCCTCTCCCTCCCGAGTGCTGGGATTAAAGGCTTACGACACTATAGCCCTGTGTTTTACCAGTCTTATACCTTGTAGCTACCCCCACCCCCGCACCCCCAGTGCTCGGTTATTTTGAGAAAGGAGCCTGCTGCGCAGCTCAGGCTGGTCTCGACTCCTGATCCTTCTGCCTTAGCTTCTGGGGGGCCCAGAGATTGCAGGTGCCGCACCACCGCGTCCAGCTCAGCTCAGCTCAGCTCAGCTTCTTCTTGCCCATCTTCCCTCCCTCTCTTCCTCCTTCCCTCACGCACCCCACCCACCCCTCTGTGTGTTCCAGCCTCACAGATATTTAAATCGCTCTTGATTTAAAGGGAAGTCCTAAAACCGGTACTGCCCATGAATCTTTGGAGTCAGAATTTTGCAGTTAAAGTCAGAAGTTCTGCTGCGCTGTCGGGAAGGTTCACACAGGTTAATTGCCCACACAGGCACTGTAGTTTACTAGTCAAATGCCTGACACACAAAAGGCCCTCTGTCCCACCCACGGGGACTGGGGCTCTGTTGATTGTACTAAGAATAAGGATGCTCCCTGAAGCCTTGGAGAATTTGTTTCTTTCCTCTCTCTAAAAACACTTTGTATGTGTAAACACGTGCACACACCACTTTGTAATCCAGCCAGTGTTGGTGCAGGGAAGTGAACTCAGATTGCCTGGAAGAGCAGCAGGGCCCTCTTAACTCTGGAGCCTCAGCCTTGGCTAACTTAAGCAAGAGGCTCCACTGTGGTGGAGCAGCCCTCTTGTCCTTGTCCTGAGAGGAATAACCTTCTCCTTAAACTGGAGTTTCATTTGTTTGTTATTTTGACTTTAAGACTTAAGGCAGGGAAGAGGTAGACTGAACAGTGACCGAATCCGGTCACCCTGGGTGGTCTCTCGGCCCCTGTGTGGTGGATACCCAGTGGGCACAGCTGGTCCAGGTGAGAGTGAGGCAGTGGATCACAGGCAGAGCCTCCACCTAGACCTCTCTATGCCCATACTACATCTGTAGGTGAAGGCACATGCAGGGTTAAGTTTGGAAGGTTCAGAGAACACAGATTTTGCTCACTAGCACTGTGCATACAGTTCTGACACACAAAAATCATTTCCCAGGCTGGTGCTGTAGTCTATGCATGTAATCTCCACACTGGGAGGCAGAGGCCCAAGGACAGCTGTCAGTTCAAGGCCAGCCTGGTGGACACAGAGATTCCCACGCTAACCAGGGCTCACAGGGCAATCCTGTCACAAACAAACAAACAAAAACCAAATCATTTCGCAGAGGTAACGAGAGTGATTGCTTAGTGGCAATGGGGGGGCACTTTTCAGAGCTAATCATGTCTTCAACCCAGGTGATTGTTGTGCCCAGATCACGACCCCCACCCAGAAAGACCACTGAAGACGAGCATGCCAGAATGCAAAAGCAAGGTTTAATTCTGGATATCCAAAAGCAATACAAGCCTAGGCAGGGACTTCGTCCAATACATCCAACGCAGTGGAGGCTGGAGGAAGTGCCCACCTGTCTGCAAGCTCAGCTTTTAAAGGGAAAAGTCACAAGGTTACATCATTTAGGGGGTGCTAGTATGGGTACAATTCTGATTGGCTCGCTTCTAGGGGCTTTCTAGAAATCATGGCTTAATCTTACTTCTAAGGGGGTGGTTGCCCACCACCATTTCTCATTGGCTGCCCTCAGGTGGGGACATTTCTGTGGTCAGTTACCCTGGAAACCAGGGAGAGGACATTCCATAGTCCGGCAGTCATTACCTCCTGACTACCTTGTGACTCTGTACTTTTACACTTCCTGGTTTCTGGAATCTGGACTTAATGGTTTTAGTAACTCGTGGCCTGTACCTACAAGGAGAAATCTCAGGCCTTAGTTTTAGGGTGAAAGCATTTTGGTCTTATTTCTAAGATGGCTCATTTTGGTCTCACAGTGATGACTGATAAAACTATGAAGTATTGAATACACACTTTAAAATGATTAATGGTTAATTTTAAGTTACATAAATTTTACCTCAGAAAACCCGCTCCCGGTATCTTAGACCCTTCTGTATGCTTTGACGGTAACCAACCTAACTCCTCCCTTGTCTATGGATGATCAAGCCGTTCCCAAGCTTATATGGCTTCCAAGGATGCTCTTGGGGCTGGAGGTGTAGCTCACTGGTCCAGCACTTGCCTGTCACACACAAAGGCCCTGGTTCCACCTCCAGCACCACCACAGACTGAGCCAGCCTTCCGAGGAGGCAGGCTTACAGGGAAAGAGGCTGCTGCATAGGCCTCGGGGCTGCCACAGAACAACCTCCATCCTTCGTGCCCACTGCCACACACTGCACCCACCCGCTGGACCTTTCCTGCTATGGTGGACTGAAACCTTCTAAAACCAGGAGCCCACCCACCTTTCCTCCGGTCCGTTGTTCCTTTCGACTACTGTGGTCGGAACAAAGCGGAAGTGACTAGGGCTCCACCCGGAAGCTCTGGAGGGCTACAGAGAGTAGTCGCCTTGGGCTAAAAACAGTGGCTGATGCTGGCTTCGTCGGGCCTCCCCTCTACCCCTTCATTCAACTTTTATCCTATATTATGCAAAGTCGCCTCACTTGGGCGTCTGGAGATCTTCATCTAGCCAACATGGGATGCTCACTCAGCTCCTACCCAAGGGGTTGGAAAGGTGACTCTCTCCAATTTTCACAATGGCTACTAAAAATAGACAGTATTTTCATTCCAAAATGTTACTAAAAGTCTTCTACCTCAAGGAAAGAACGTGCCTGCCGCTGAGTCCTTGTGGAAAAAACGACTAGCCTTCTCCCTGGGAAATACCTTTCCCACACCTTCCTCCTCCTACACTAAGCACAGGACAGATCTGCTTCTCCGGCTCCTTAATTAACGCTCTGTCGGACTGTCCTTCATCAGCTGAACAACGCCCATCCGGTCACAAACACGTCTCATCTTCTCAGCAGATAAGAGGAGAAAATTGCTGTGTTCTCCCACAGCTCCCCGGGTCCTGTTGCTTCCCGAGGACATCTAACACCCCTGGGCACGCACACACCTCACTCACAGCCAAGCTCATGTCTCAAGTTCTCCCTCAAGCACTAGGAAGATTCAGGCGTGGCCACTTTCTCCCAATGTTGACCTTGTCCTAGAGATCTAATCAGCAAAGGCATTGGGGGAGGTGGTGTCTCCTTGCCTACCCCACCTTAGGAGATAGAGCAACTGTGCTTGTTTCTCTACTGTGGTGAGGAAATGCTGCCAAGAATCAACGTTAAGGTGGAAGAGTTGGTTTTTCCGCTCACAATCTAATGGGGATCCCACACATCATTTGGGGTGACTGGGATAACCACGGCGGCAGGGGTATGAGGTGGTTGCTGGCTGCTCACTGCCCACATTGTTAGGCTCCGGGAAGCAGAGAAGGAACAGGAAGTGAGGTCAGGTTATAAACTCCCAAGACCTACCTCCAGTCACCCACTTCCTCCATCAAGGCTCCGTCTTCTAAAGGTCCCAGGACCCCGCTAAGCAGCAGCTACCAGCTGGGGACCAGGTGTTCAAACGCATGAGCCTATGGGGCGCATTTCATTATCAAACCACAACCACAACATAGCTCTTGCCTCTTCTATATTTGAGGCGAATTTTTTGTTGTTGGTTTTTCAGTTTTTTTTTTTTTTTTTAAATTAGGGGTGCGAGCATGCGAGCGTGCGTACGTACGTACATACGTGCGTGCGTGCGTGCGTGCGTGCATGCTTTAATAGAAAATACACCACCCCAGGAAGTGTATCTGTCACTGGTGAATTTTTAACAGTAATATCTTCCAAGATGTCCAATAATTCACGCTCTTCATTAACTTTCTAGGGTTTGGATTTTCCCTATGGTGTACGCGCCCCTCACACACCTTGGGAGAAGGGAGAAGGGCTGAATGGAAAGAAGGGTCTCTTAAGAGATGGCAATTATTCTCACCTGTTACACGCCAATCAAAGCCCGGAAGCACAAAGGCCCGCCTCTCATTTTCTGACAGCTAATTGTTCCAGGCCCAGAGGGACCTCCGCAGAATCAATGTCTTCAGAGACCCCATTCCCTATTCAGAGTAATCTTCTCCCTTCTTTTGTTTCTCATTGTTTCTTTCTTTTTAATTTTTTTTTCAGGTGAGCCTTACCTATTTAATTGCATCTAATTCTTTGTCAGAGTTGTATTGTCCCTATGGACTCCTATTTTAAACGCATTGTATACTTCTTTTAGGAAAACATTGGTGTTGCGTGGTGAGTTTAACTTGAGTTGTGCCTACATAATGTCAAAAACATCCCCCAAATTAACCAGCCATGGTGAGGAGGGCAGGGGAGATGCCAGGCAAGCATTCTACCACTGAGCTGTGTCCTGAGTTTTAATTTCTTCATTTTCTAAAAAAAAATAATTATATTTTTGGAGAGAGAGAGAGAGGGTCTCTCTATGTAGCCCTGGCTGTTCTAGAAGTCCATATGTGGATGTGACTTGACTCAAACTCACAGAGAGATCCACCTATCTCTTCCTCCTGAATGCTGGTGTTAAGTTGTTCTTTTTGTTTGTTTGCTTGTTTGTTTTTTTGAAACAGGGTTTCTCTGTGTAGCTTTGCGCCTTTCCTGGAACTCGCTTTGGAAACCAGGCTGGCCTCGGACTCACAGAGATCCACCTGGCTCTGCCTCCCGTGTGCTGGGATTAAAGGCGTGCACCACCACCGCCCGGCAAGTTGTTCTTTTTTTAATGGCACTTTAGCTGCCTGAATGACAGAGATGAGCATGGAATAGAAGCATGGGGACAGGAATGTTCAACAGATCCAATGCTTGTGTGACTGTTTTCATTACTGACACACAGGGGAGGGGGCTATACCAAGGGTACTCTAGGCAGCAGGGCATTATAATTTGACATTTTCAGAATACACAGAGATAAAGGGAGAGGAGGGAAGGGGAGGGAGAGGCACTGAAACCAGACCAGTGATTGATTTGCTCATCTCCCAGACAATTGAGTGCTTTCTTTATGGAACTAGCTGAAGTTTCCCTTAGTGTGACTTGTTAATTTACCTGAACCGGTCAAAGGATGCAGTGTGAAGTTCCAGAAATTCTTGCAAACAACTTCTGAGTTCACTCCCCCCCACACACACACACAACCCCAAAATAAGTAGAAACAAGTCTCCTATGGGTATGGGTGTGTGTGTGGGGGGGGGGCAATGTTCTGCTAACTTCTGATGACTGTTAGGCGGGTCAGAGTCATACCAAGAAATGCAGCGGCAGAAGGTTATAAGCACCAAGAAAGCCAGCTAGGACGAATGGATAACACAGGCTGCCATAAAGAAGCGCTGGAAATAGAAATCCCTTGGCTCCTGGGGACTCTCATTCATCACGTTGGGAGTTCCAAAATGGCAGCCTCTCTCATTCACGAATTATGAATGAATTCATTTTCAACTTTTTTCCCCCCAGTAACAAATGGTAGGAAGTTGTTTTTTCAATATGTCCTCTGAGGGACTTCCTGGTGATCTGTACCATGGTCCTCAGTGAAAATTCACTGTAAGCTGCCATCTAGGCAACGGTGGGCTTCAAATGGGATCAGATGCCAACTGAAAACCAGGCCTTCATTTACAGTCTGAAAGATTTTATTCCAACGGCATCCTGGGCTGACAGAACTACAGCCTCATCTGGCTCTAGCTCACAGATGATACCGACCTGCAGGATGGGACAGTGAGTCCATTTTGAAGTTGCTGAAATGAAATAGCCTCTGCTTACCCATCTTCCCATCCTATCAGCTGACCCCACACCAAGACATCCTCCAAACACGTCTATGCACACTCACAAGCCTCACTTAAGAATCGCACGACAAAGGTGGCAGCTTAGAAAATTAAAAATCCCCCTTCAGACCCTTTTCTGTTCATCCGGTGGAGTTTCAAATGCAAACCATTGTCACAGCTGTTCCATAGAGACAAATCCGTGGGCTGCGGTGATAACAAGCCTTTAACCATCCCACTGAGAACAGAGACACCGGTCTATCTGCACCTCAGTCTGCACACGCCCCCACCCCTCCGAAAAGGAGGGTGCCTGTATCTGCCAGTGTGGTTTGAGAAAGATTAATAGACTCAATGCTTTCCAAGTCTCTTTAAGCCTCTCTGTAGGATGGTGCCCGCAAAGAACAAAGTAACATTTTCCTTCGGGCAGAATAATTAAAACAAAATCTCCCGAGTCCCATCTCCGTGCGTGTCTCTCCAACGGATCACGCGGTGATTTTTAAGAACAGAGCGGCCCCTGTGTCATTTATTTATAATCGCTCTTCATTGTTACAGTGGGGCATTCACACACATCACCTCCAGGCTCGGGAGGACTGTTAGTATTCATTAGGGAAAGGAAACAGTCTTTCTTGCAAATAAGCAATTTGATTGCTTCAGGAATAGGCCTGTAATTACTGCAGTGCTGGGATACGTTATTGTTAATAAGATTAAAAAAAAGAAAGAAAGAAAGAAATCCAAATCAGAGGGGATTCAGTCTCTTCTTCCAGAGACTGTAATTAAAAGGGTGACAGTGGTTTCCTGTGCCCCAAGATAGGATGGGCACCAGACTGAAGGCACCAGGTCAGAGATGCAGCCTCTGCCTTACGTTTTACAGAGCAGAGCGACCGTTAGAATATTAAAAAGCAGCCCTGAATTGGGAATGTAGCTTAGGTGGTGGGGTGTTTGCCTGGCATGTACAATGCCCTGAGTTTGAGCCCCAGGACAGAGCAGGGTGCGACAGTACATGCATGTAATCTTAGCACTTGGGAGGTGGAGGCAGGAGGATCAGAAGTTCAAGGTCATCTTTGGCTATTTATGGAGTTTGAGGACAGACTGGAATACATGACACCCTTCTCAAACAAAGAAAAGGAAGAGGAGAGGAGAGGAGGGAAGAGGAGGGGAGGGGAGCGGAGGGGAGGGGAGGGGAGGGAGAGAGGGAACACTGTCCCGCAGAGATGGTTCAGATCCAACCCTCCTATTCGTGTATATGACGGGAAGGTCAGGGCATTCCGATTGCAATAATACCTACATCCCAAGTAGGTACAAGGGTCTTAACGATGGGGCCTGAGCAGCTTTTAGAATTTGAATTTATATAAGCTGGGAATCTACCCGGGTGAACACCTTCAAGAGAATCACAGACTTTAAACTGGACACAAACAAATTCACATCCTGTGAGCGAGGAGACCCAGTCTTCTGGTCCAGCCTTCAATCTCTGTTCATCACACAGGTTCACTGCATGCACCGCACTGGTTTCCTGTTCCAAGTCACCTGAGCTGCCAGCCTTTCTGCTGGCTGGCTTTTATTTTTGCTTTAATGACTTAGCTCACACCCAGGCTGGCCCTGAACCCGCTCTTGCTGCCTTTCTCATGCATAGATAATACTTCCTGTCATCTCGAGGGGCAGCTTGTCCCACAGCCCTCTAGGTTAGAGCTATAAACAGGAAGAGATCGAGGGGTATTGC